ATAACCAACATAACCAAGACAATCAAAGATTTGATCAGTAAAAAACACAGAATCAACACTGCATTAGAAGCTGTATATAAAATTTTGGGTATCCATTAACTTTAGTTTTATGTGACACATGGCTGGCTCAGGAATGCAACATTTCAACAATGAGCTTGGGACTTTTCAGATCTTCTAAATCAATGTGAATGCATGAGTCTTCTTTCCAGAAAATCACAAAACAGTAACCAGAACATGAGCCCATTCATCACTTATAGTGTTACATTTGGTGACTGCAAGCTGGATATCAAAGGGATTTCCCTGACAAGCCATAGTACTACATCTGGAACCAGTGGTCTAGATAATATTAATTTACAGATCCTAATCTCATACCAAATATAGCAAGGGTGATATCACCCCTGAAATAATAACCAAGATGTTAATATGCTGTAAAAAAATGTAAATGTTACAGAATGTTAATTTAGAACACAAAATACAATTTTTTTGTAAGTGTACAAAGGATATCAGATTACAAATAGGAAATTGCTGGAACAATAATGATTTGGAACTTTTAAAAATAGAAATGGATTTTGACATTATAAGATTCAAAATTAAAATAAAGGATGTTTTGATTTAGAATTTATTTTTGAAACACGAATCTCTGTAGTTTACAAAGAGTGGCAGAATAGCAAGGTGATAACAATAGCGTCTTGTGAACGTTGGAAACCAATTGATGAAAAAGTAAATTGTTTATTCTCGGAGGAGTGAAGTTGTACTTTGGTAGTATGTCATAATGTTTGTACTAGAAAAACAGACATGTCACTAGTCTGGGACACTTGAGCCAGTTCTCTTAATAAAGAGGCGAGCAAACTGAGTGGGAAGAGAGTTTTTGGGTTCGTCTGTCTTTGAATACAGTCGAACTGAGTGGAGAGACGTCGGAGATTGAAAAGGAAGCATCCACTGTGTGTTGCTGAAGCTGAGGGCGAAGAAGTGAAATACTGCCATTAACATCTAAGTACCGCCACTCCTGCTACAACTAATACTACTACTACTATTACTACTACTGAGAATGGGAACATCAAAGGTTGTAGTAGTTGTATTAAGAACAGACCAAAAAGGGTTAAAACGAAGGCCACATCTCTCCTTTACAGAAATTATTCAGAGTATTTGTGTTTGTTTGGTTTCACATACAACAAACATTCAACCTTGTGCAAGAAGAACTATTTTTTTTATGTGTGTGTGTGTGTGTGTGTGTGTGTGTGTGTGTGTGTGTGTTTGCTTTTATATATAAAAAAAAAAACTTTTGTCCTTTCAAAATTGAATCGACTTGGTTATATTCATTTTTCTGTTAACCCGATTCTCACCCAACAAACTTGCAGGTGGACCAATCGAGAGCTTCTGGATTTCTACGATCTGATGACTACTCTTCAGGATCAAAACAATCGCAACATGGCTGGAGGGTGGCTTCGAATTGACATTGGGAACTAAAGACTTGTGTCTAACCTGTAATACTGGACCACTGGCCAGTCTTGTGTGTCGTTCCAGTAGGGTGAGGATACAGTGTTACACAAATGGTTGGTCTTTGAATCATTTTGGCCATGATCTGATCTAATATTGGTCAGCTGGTTTAATTCAGCTGTCATTTTTCTAGCAGTGAGTGGAGCTGAGTAGTGGGTGCTCAATTCTACTAGTTAAGTCCTGCGTTCAGACCCAAACAATTCCAGTGGCTAATTCATTTTATTGCAATTCATAATTAATGCTTTTAACCTTATCCATATATTCTATAAGGAGCATGTGTGTATCCCTGTCCATTTTATTTAATAGAACATGCTTAAATCAAGGATTGCTGCCTAAATATACTATGTCATTTATTTATTAAAGACATATTTTATGTTTAACGGTGTTATTTTATAGATACAAGTATTTAAGCAAATGCTCTGTTTATGATAAACAGTATTAAATAACATTTACCGGCCTGAATGTCCGAGAAATTTTCATAGAAAATATTCGTTCTTTGACAGGATTCGAACCTGCATCCTATACAGAACCGTCATATAAATATGTCTTTAATAAATAAATTGTCGGACCTTGTCCATTTCTTAATATATACTATGTCATATGCACATAATTATATACACACAGATGCACATACTATTTGGTATTTATTTACAAACTATGCATTTGTACTGAGATACTATATGAAACGTATAAGATTATTGCCAAATGCTAAAAAGATGATAAACTGATTTTAATGATAAAAACATGCAGATACTCAATTTCTGTTCATTTGTTTGCCTCAGCAGAGATCCTTGCTAAAAAGATCTTTAGAATATTTCATTATTTCCTCAAAATCTTGAACAAAGACAAAAAGAAAACTATTCCTTACTAACGTAAAACAGGTTAATAAAAAATAGTTTGCCTTTTTCTTTTTTCTGATAGATTTTATCAAAGCATATGTAAGGATTTTATTTTGTAACATGTATTTACATACAGAAGCAAAACTATAATTTAAAAATATTTTAAATTTAAGAATGCTCAAAGTATTCTTAAAGCTGTGAAAGTCAAACTTGATTATGGAGGATAGTAAGTGATATAATTTAATACCTAATAAATGACAATGAGTAAATGTTATTTAATTTTTTTTTTATTAATGCGATTATTATTTATCATTTGATTTTAATTTGATAAATTATTTATGTATTTATTTTAAATAATAGAAGGTTTTTATTTAACCATTTTCTTTCAGTTTTATAAAATTTTTATGGTCATGTATGCTGGCTTGGAAAAGAAGTATTTCTTTTAGGAAAGGATATATTTGAAAAAATCCAAGGCATATGTTCACATTTTGGCAAGATTCATTAGTGGCTAGCTCAAGAACTTTCCATCTAAGTAAGTTATTTTCTTTTTTAATAATTGTTTCATTCTTTAGATTGAAGTTGTCGTTGAACTTATTTCAAGTATGACTAATGTATTTAATAAATTGTTATGTGTAAGGTCCTTTTTGTGTTCATAGATGTGTATTTTAATTGTAAAGAACAGTTGTGACAATTTATTTTCTATATACCTGCTTCAGAATTATCATTGTTATAGACATTTTTGGTTCTGATTATATTCATAATAATTTGGGATATGGTTGTAAAAGTTAAATTAAAAGTTTATTAGTTTTATTAAATTAAAATTTAGGACGGAATTTTGTTGAAATGTAGCTTTCAGATTTTCTATTTCTTTCTTGTTTTCAGTCAAAATAAATATATCGTCTACATAATGAACATATATTTCAGGTTTAATAACTTTAGTAAAAACCTTGTTTTCAACATAGGACATATAATAATTGGAGAAGCATAGCCTGAGAGGGTTTCCCATACTTACTCCATCAGTTTGTGTGTAAATAATACCATACTATAAAAAGGAAGTCTAGTGGTGCAAGCGAGCAATAGTTTTCTTAAAATATTGGGTTGGATTGATGGAGGTAGAATTAAATTATTGATAATATCAATAGTTTCGGAGACGGGAACATTAGTAAATAAATTCTCTACGTCAAGTGACGCAAGAATGCCGTGGTTTGTTTTTAATTTTGTGCTTTTTAAGTATTTGGAGGAATTCATGGGTAGATTTAACGCTATAGTTAGTCAGGAGATATGGGGTAATAATATCATTGAAAAATTTTGATAGTTGTTATATGCATGTTGGAATCTGAGAAATAATAGGTTGTAATGGGTATCCTGGTTTGTGTATTTTAAAATTACTGTATAAGTAGCCAGGTTGGTAATCTCCAATAATTTTGTTTATTTTTAAGGATCCCGCAACAGCATTGTTGGATGTTATAAGTTTATTAACATATTTCTTTAGAGATTCAGTGGCGTTCTTATTCAATTTAGTAAATTTAGAACGATCATCAATAAGATGCTGAAGTTTTTTGTGATAATCCAATTTATCCAAAATTACGTAAATATTGGATTTATCAGATTTTCTGATGACTATATTAGGGTTGTTTTTTTAATTCTGTAGCAGCAATTTTGAGTTTTGTTGGAATGTTCTTGTTTCTATTACGTGGAATATAATCTTTTAGACCTTCTACCTTGAGAAGATCTTTGAGGTTTGGATGGATTATTATCAATTTGTCCTTTTTCCAGTTGATATAATGGTTGATGTAAGATTTCAATTTCAGTCTTATTTGTGAGAAGGTCAAATTTAGGTTGGAGATGGCAATTTCGTTTATGTCCATGTTAACAGTTGAAATATAATCCTTGAAAATGGCTGAATGTATAGCCAAAAGCGCTCGGATAAAAAGAACATTCGAACAGTTTTTATATAATTGATCATCCGAAAAGAAAAAAATTATTAGATCGCATGAGAATTTGTATAAAAAAACTAAATAAAAGCACTTTGTCTGTTGTTTTTCAATGAAATGTGCATATATATATATATATATATATATATATATATATATATAAAACATCAAAAGATTTGTAAATATTTTGTACCTTGATTTTACTTTCCACAATATATTTTACTATATGTATGCATTATAAAGTATGCAATATTTATAAATGAAGTTCTTAGAAAGTCTGAAAGGAATGATACTGTAGCATGGAAAAACTTAATTGACTCAGCTATAATTTATGCACATGAAAAAAAAAAAGAGGGAGGTACAAAATGACTCAAATGACAGTTGGAGTCAATTCATCAAAACAACTGCATGTTTACTCCAGACTAGCATTTTTTCCAGCTTGATATGACTGAGGCTAAAATAACTGATTCAAGACATATCAAGTAAAACCCGGTTCATTTCTCTTTTTTTATATCTTGCTAATGTTTATGTTTCACTCTTGCACAAACTACTGTCATATTCATGTTATGTAAATATGTAGGCAAAGTCTGATGTCCCAATGAACAGTGTTACCATATCACAGATATGGCAATGCTTATGTTGTAATGTTTAGATAAGTGTATTTCCACTTGCCACTCCAATAAACAATGCAAAATATTTCATAAAGAATAAAATTTTTCCTGTAACTTACTTAATCGGAATTGGGCCAACTGTCCATTCCACTTCTACATAGTTTTGTCCCTTATACAAACGTACTGACTGGGTTACCCAAGGGCTAAAAACTTGATGGACTTCCTGCACACAGTTTCCCTGAAAATAACAATAGCAAAATGACTAAAAAGAAACCGAAAATAAAGAGAAAAAACAATAAGATATATAATCCGGTGTTCTTAATTATTTTTATTTTTAAAAAACAGTGCTCAGTGCAAATCTACAGAGCATAAATATTATAAATTTACTAATTTAAAAATATGGTTCCATCACTACACAGAAATTACCATGTTTCAAAAGCAGAAACTAAAAACTTCAAATTCAATTAGTCCTGTTACATTTTCAAGCAAATTTTGGAATAACTTATTTTGAAATTTACTGAGTTTTATAAGCACATACATTCAAAATATTAGTTTCTAAGGATACGGTGGAAAATCAATAATTTTGACAAGGGGTGGTAGAGTATTCATTTTCACTGACAACTATTGTATCAAAATATGAGTTACTTATTTATATTTGATATTTAACAATAATTTTTAAATAATTAAAGTAATTCTATTACATTTATTTGTTTTAAAAGAAGCATAGCTATTAGTAATTAGAATTAGGAATAATAATTTAAAATTGTAGTTCAATATTATATATATATATATATATATACACAAACAACCCTTTTAGAAAAAATCTTTATGTATACAATTACAAATTTAATGGCAAAACAAAAGTGCTGAAAAACTTTTTGTCATTGATAAAGACCAGTCAACATGCAATGAACGGGTGTTATCATTTGATGAACAGTCCCTTACCTTAACTTAACCTCTTTTCGAAAGTAACTCATATTTTGATACAATAATTGTCAGTGAAAATGAATACCACCCCTTGTCAAAATGATTGAATTTCTCCGTATCCTTAGAAATTAACATTAAGAATGTATGTGCTTATAAAACTCAGTAAATTTCAAAATAAGTTATTCCAAATTTCGCTTGAAACAGGACTAAGGACTTTAATTCTATAATTGAATTTGAAGGTTTTAGTTTCTGTTTTTGAAACATGTAATTCCTGTGTAGCAATGGAATCATACTTTTAAATTAGTAAATATATATATATATATATATATATATATATATAAAAACACATATACAAAGTTTTCTCTCAAGAATTATTCAAAGCTAAATTTTTGAAAATATTTCAAAGGATACCAAGAACGATACTGACATTGGTGACATATTTTGGTGTATTTCCACGAGAACATTTTGACAAATAGTATTTTTAGTTAAAAAGCAAAAAAGATTCAAAAGAATTTTTAAAATCTGCAGCAAAAGAAAATATGATGCGATGAGCAAGTCAATTGTTCTGATTAATTAGCAACATTAGCAAAATAGATCATATCAGGCGGTGGGGGGGATCACATTAAAACTTTAATTTTATATACTGCATTTAGTGATGAAAATAACTAAAAAAATAATGAACTATTGCCATAACAAAGACACAATATTTTGTTGGGGAGGGGGTAAACTAATGAAATAATTTTTAAAAGAAATTTGCCTTTATTAAGAGAGTTTTCACATGTGTACCACCACTGATGCTAGTTGGAACATCATTGACAGGACGGAAGATGTAATTATTTGAGGCTTGCATGTCAGGATTAGAATTGTTCCCTGCATGTCCAATGTAGTAAAAATAGTTTTGCTTCAGGGTAGTAAAAATATTACTTTGAAGATTTCCAAATTTCTTCATGCGAGCTGTGGCAGCATCAAAACTTATGGACACCAGCTAAAAATAAATAGAAAAATGGTGAAACTAATTGCAAAAATAAAATCATCAGTTTATTTATATTTTGTCAGTTGAATGTAATATGCAAAATGTTACAAAATAGTAATTTGTAACTGACATGGAAAACAAGTCATGTAGCCCAGATAAAATTCACCATGATTTTTCAATTAATAAGTACACATACATTGCTAATTGAAAATATTGACAATTTTTATTTTGTTTAAATTATTGGAAATAATTACAAAGCAGTAATTGAATAGTAAAGATCTTCTGAAAAACAAAGGTTGCTGTAGGTATAAGTTTAGTAAATATATAAACAATTTTTTTTAATAGTTAAAACTGTAAACAAAAGAAAAGTAACTGTATGCCAAAAGTTAATGTCACAAGAAAATTAAGTCAATTGTACACCCCTCCCCTTTTTTTTGCTATGAATTTTTGTAATCTTTTTTTAACTTTTTACAAAATTAGCAAAAACATCTCTGGGGATATTTTACATTTTGTGTGCATCATTGTCATTGTAAATTACTTTGTTTTCTTGCTCTTATATATCTTTCCAATTCATACTATAAATTTTCAATCAGGTTGGAACTAACTTTAAAGGACAAAGTAAAACTTTTATATTCTTATCCTGAAAATACTTCTGGACTTATTTTTGATCATTGTTATGAATAAAGCTCCAACCATTCTTTAGTTTCAGATTTTTAGCAGATATCTTCAAGCTGTCCTCTAACATTTTATAATAATCCTCTTTTTTTCATTATACCATTAATTCTTACCAAGCTTCTTGTTCCTTTTGTAGAAAAACATATCCAAAACCTGATACTCTTCCCTTCATGTTTTGTTGTAGGGATGATATTCTTTGGAATGAAAGACTTACCTTGATGCCTGCTAGTAAAATTCTTATTATTATACCCCAAAAGTTCTAGTTTTGTCTTATCCGACCCCATAGTATATTCTCTTAGAATTAGATAAGCTTATAAATATTTACAAATGTTAAATGAAATTTCAAATGACTAGCCTTTAGAAAAGGAGTCTTATGAAGGTGGCATGCTCTGTACTGGGATCTAGTAATTATATTTCTTGTTCCTTTCATTCCAGCAGCTTCCTGAGATACTTAATTGTAATATTTGGGATATTTTCAACAGTTCTTAAAAGGCTACATTCTGTTCTGGCTGACAGTTTCTTCCTCCTACCACATCCAGGTTTATTTGTAACAATATTTTCTCCCTTTAACTTTAGGATGATGTTGCAGACAGTTGATTTAGGGATATTAAATCATTTAGAAATGCTATCATTCATTATGATGTGAATAATTGTCACAATTGAAATCATCACTGTAGATTCTTCTGGAAATAAATATTAATAAATTAGTATTACTTAATATTCATAATTTAAACATGAAAATATCATTTTCCTGCTTACATTTTTCATATGTAGGATTTTAAATATACATTTTTTAAAATCATTTCATCCCAAGCAAAGCAATAAAGCCACTAAGATGCAAGAGGTTACTGAGTGTTAGAGAATATGAGAAAAAAAAAACACTATTAAAGGGAGAGAATGATAAAAGAACAGGAATTAAGACAGGAGATAATAATTGACATTACATTTAAATTTTCAAAGATCAAAGTTGACTGAAAAGCAAGAAGCCAGTAGAGAGTTAAACAAGCAAGAAGTGTGATAGAAGAAACTGTTAGCATAGAACTTACATTTACATCTAGCCATTTTAACTGTAAAATGATGAGACCTCGCCACCAAACTAGTACTGCACTTAAATTCATAAAGTGTCAGTACCATAGAGGAAAGCTCATCAGAACAATTACCATGAAAGTTTTTATAAAAATGGCACAGGGAAGCTATATTACGATGGTGGGGAAGGGACTGAAGTCAAGACCAAATCACATTACAGATTCTTCTATCGATTTTATCACTAATCTCTAAATATACAACAAGTGCATCAGATCAGATGTTGCAGCAATGGATGAATGGTAGACTTATAAATATGTAAGTTAGATTCCAATGAGAAAAATTGTCTCGCTCAACACAGTAAACCAATTTTCCTAGCAGCAGACCTAGAAATTGATTCAATACAGTCTTTCCACTTCATGTTGGTGGAAAACATTAGTCTCAGAAGGTGTACCCTCTTAGACAATAAAAAGACAATAGTTTTGTTTGAGATGCTAAAATTAACAAGCTATTCCTTACTCCAGTTAATAACATATTATAGGTCATTTTTGACATCAGCTGCCAATTTTAGCTTATTGAATCAACCAGACTTGTTATTAAGACAGGATTAAATAGTTGTGTCATCAGCATATATACCAAATTGAGAAATGATGACACATGGAAGGACATTGATGAAATTGTAGAAAAAAACATTCTTGTGTTTCCTAAATACTTATAACTGCTCCCACCTAAAATAAAGACTAAACTGTAACTATATTTAAAATCTATAAACTAAAGCAACTAACACCATGCCAAATATTTCAATCAGCTGTGTTTATGAATGGAGAGGATTAGTTGATAAGATGTTATGCTAATACAAAAATTTCTTAAGTCAGCCAAGCATAGAAAGGAATACAATATAGGAACCAATAATACGAAGTGCTAGAGAAAAGCAAAAATAACAGGAAAAATTGCAATATGAGCTCTGGTAAAAACACAAGTACTGAGACACTAAGTTTATAAGTCCCCAAAATTCATACACTGATGTCCTCAACAACACATGGCCCAGTGGATAAAAGTGTTGATTGGATCCAGTGACTTGACCAAAAGAATTGTGAGTTCAATACCTGGCTACTGCAGTGGTGAATAAAATTAGAGAGAGATAACCGAGACATCTGAAAGAGGCATGGCATGTGGAACTAGAAAAACCTACCCCAGTGGACGAAATAAAGGGTTCAGTTCAAAATTCCACTCACCTGAAGAAGGCCGGAGAATACAATGGCCAAAACATCACGATGAGGGCAACAGTCCAAACAATGTAAATAGCATAAATAATTACAATACCTCAATCTCAGAAATATAGACAGATATAAATACATTTAAATTTAAGAAAGAAGAGATCAACATAAATGTGATGACATCAAGCTTTTAGTGATTACTTTGAATGAAGAAAGATCTGTAAAAAATTTTAGATTATTTATGTCATCTACAAAATGCAAAGATATACTCACGCCATTATTCAATTCAAAATCTTCTCCTTGTTGAATGGGAGTTACTTTTGAAGTTGTTTCTTTATTCTTATCTAAATACAAAACATACAAAATTCCTCTTTAAATATTTTTTGTAGATTTAATATTTTAAGTTTCGAAAATTTTGTAGTGAAAGAGATAATCAGGTACCCCGAAAAAAAGTTTGTGTTTTGTGTGTGATCTGCTGAAGAAAAATTACCAAAAAGTAGTCAGCAAAAATCTACATCAATGACTAGAAGCTATGCTAATGTTCTTCCCTCCCCTGAATGGCGTGACCAATCAGAAAATTCTCTCGGTGAACAGAAGTCGTCGTTTTTTGCTTATAAAAGGAGATGATTTTTTTGAGCTGTGAGACGAACACGTGTTGTTGTTGGCGAGAAGTGAAGGTTGGATTTGTGACCCCATTTTGTCGTCTCTATGGTGTGTGTTGGACTGTTACGTCGGACTATCATGTGAACTGCGATTTGCCTACAAGTGTTGCGGCCGAGAAACAAGAAATATATTGCTGTTGCTACGATCTGTTGACAGTCTTTTCTTTACCTCAACAAATTTTTAGGTCAAGAGAGAACAAAAGATACTCACTGTGTTACTGGCCCTAAGAACTTGCTGATATTTTTTTTAATGGACTGTGATTGGACGGTTAAAAGGTGAACCGCCCCCTTCTGAAGGGGAAGGGAGAACTGGGACTGGACCTTAGCAACAGTTGGAAACGAGACAGATTAGAAAGAAGAGGTTCGTTTTCTCTCTCCCTGCTGAAAAGGCAGGCAGCATTTGCCCATAAGTGAAGGATGCATGGGTAACAAAGTTGCTGAGGGCAAGTTTCCCCTTCAATAAAAGTTTTGAGAAGTCCTCTCGAAGAAGCCCCAGAAAAGAAAGTTGAAAAGAAGTCCATAAGTGGAGTTTGGAGCTAAAGCCATTTGAGAAGAAGGAGCAAACACATGCATTTTCAAAAAGCATTTTACCATGTGTTTAAGTAAATTTTCACCTTCTAGTGGCTGTAATTGTAGTGGGTGTAATTTCCCGGTGGATGAGAGGAAAATAAGTGAAAAAAGGAGGGAGTTTGGTTACCAAGAACAGAACCTTGTCTATAAAAGAGAGAAAAGAAAAAAGATAAAATCTTTTGAACCTTGAAAGGACTAGAAATGTACTGTAGAGCTAAGGCTCTCCCTGCTTTTTTTTTTATTGTTATCATTGACACAGCAGGAGGGTGCAATTCTTTTTTTTTGCTTTTTTTTGTGCATTGTAATTTTTAAGTTTGTTTTCTGCTATTCTTTTTTTACATTGTGTTACTCAGAGAGTAGGTTATTTTATTCTCAGCAAAAAGGGACAAATTTTTGCAAGAACCCTTATTTAGCTGGTTAGAAATAAATAAATATTTTTTTCTTTGTAATTGAATCTGGTTTGCATTTTTTTTTCTTTCTTTTTCATTAGTAATTCGGGCAATAGGAAAATACTGTTGCAGCAGGTTTTATTTTCTTTCAGAAAATAAAATTTCTGAAAAAATAGATGCAAAAAACAGGACAAAATATAATTAAAACATTAATATTCTTACTTAGATTTTTTTCATGTGTTTGTCCCTGATTAGCCTTCAGTTAAAACTTGCTTCTAATTTTAAACAAGTATATTACAAAAAAATTATGATTATAATACTCAAAGATTATAGTTAATTAAACAATACCATTCTTCATTAAAAAATGTTATGTTATTGACACTCAAAGGAAAAAAACTATTTTTTTTTATGATTTATTTTGGTAATCTTTTTGAAAATTTTGAGTTATAAGTTACAATGCATGGACACTTCAAAAGTTTACATCTTTTCCTGTGTTTTAATCATGGAAATATTTGAAATAAAAATTTAAGTACAAGGTTACATGTTTACATGACAATGTAAAAACGCACATGTATATAAGGGAGTACTGATCACTTCCCAAAATCAGTATTTCAATGACCAAACATCAGAACAGTGATTCTAAAGTTAGACTGAGAACTTTTCATCCCTTTAACAGAAAAAGTTAGTAAATAAAATGTTATAAATTTCTTACTGTATTAAACAAAAAATATTTCAAACAAGTTACTAAAATACAAACAAATAACTAAATATGAAGATAATCAGTGTAGTCTAGACATAATTACATATACACTTGCGAAATTTCAGTCCTTGCAGCTCAACAGCTTTACCAGATTAATAACTTCACTAAACCACTTGAAAAATCAGTTAGTATTAAATTAATAATGCAGATAAGATCCACACTTCTTTATATTATAAACTTATAAACATTATGAGTAAACAATTAATAAACTAAATTCTATGCATATATAACAAAATGAAGTTCATATCTTAGTTCACACCTATTAACATACCTCTCATAAAATCCAATATCAGGATTAAATGTAAGTAAAAGAAGCTAACTATTTATATAAAAAATAATAACCATGTGAGGTAAATAATTAGATAAGCATTTAGTTAACTCTGTTTTATTTAATTCATTTTTTTTACTACTCCATCATGCTTTTAGAAAATGACATAATTAATCTTGAGTGATGAACTGTTAGCAATTAGTTGGATGGTGAGAAATTTAAAGGTCTATTAAGACAATGCAGAGAGCAAAATCATCAAAAGCTAAATAAAATATCTAAGAGTGACATGTGGAGTTTTTACTTACTTTTGTTTGTTTGTATAAAGAAAGTAGCAAAACCAAGAGAAGAAATTTGAAACTGGAAGATAAGTTCATAATTTGCAATTGATTCTCCACGTTCTGGAATTCTCTTGGTGGCAGTGTCAATAGAAATAACCTGTAGTAAAAAAACAGAACTGTTTTGTTGGAAAAGTCTTTGAATATAATATAGCAAAAAAAAAAAAAAAAAAAAAAAAAATAACAAGCACAATTAGCATGCATTTATTGTGGTGGGCATTGAAAATAGCTGACAAGTATTTGGTGGTGTCCTTCTACCACCTATGTAAATGACTTTCCGATACAAGACTTGGACATTCTAAGGTGGCAAGTACATTCATGGTACAATTCAAATTAGTTCAAAGTCAGTGTCCTAAATTTCCAACATGTAACAAGACTTTACTATTATTGAAAGCATCAATGTACAAGACATGTCAATTTCAATAAAGTGGATAGAGAAATCTTCTACAAAAGTTTTTTCCTACGGCTTTAATCATGGAAATACTTTAAAGGAAAATGAAGTTACAAGATCAAATGTTTCCTAAAGAAGCTGAAATTTTTTTAACATGCCTATGTAAAACACAAATATATAAGTAAGTGCAGAAACCTCCCAAAATCAGTATTTCAATGACCAGAACAGTGATTCTAGAGTCAGACTGACTTTATAACATCTCGGTTTTTTTTTAGCAAAAAAATTTAGTAAATAAAAATATAAATTTTAATGTGAAGTAGAGATTACCAATAAAAATATTCTAAACTTTATATTAATAGGAAAAACAAACCTAAATATCTTTCTTGCTGTGGAGTGAGTAGCCATGGTCAAATGCAAAATAAGTAACAGAACTGTCCAACAAACAGAATTGACAAAGTTTACAAAAAAAAAGAAAAATAAGCAAGGCAAAAAATAATATAAAGGAAGCAAACAATATATGCAAGGCAAATTAACAGTAATAAGATAAAGCAATGGTAATATGGCAAAAAGTTCACAAATTAAGAATTGGTGTTGATGCACAAAAGCAAGTTTGGACAAGTGATCATAGTTTCCTCTGACTTAAAGACCAGGAAAAAAACCCTGCATGCTTCTGCCTATAAAATATAGAGTGGGGAGTGTTTTGCTATCATTCCTATTGGTTTGAAACCAACACCCACTCAAACAAATGGATGAGTGCACACATTTTTACCTCCATTAATTGCCCCACTTTCTATGGGACCAATAAATACAAACAAGATACATATAAACATCTAAATATATATAATTTGTATATATAACAAAATTTTTTTTTTAATATTTCAAATCTTTTTATTATTATTATTGCTTTTGTTCTTTTCTTTTACTTTTTTTTATAATTATTTTCAACTTTTAATATTTCAAACTATTTTTTTTTAATTAAATATTTCATAACATTTTTTTCATAAAAGTGGGTAAAAAAAACTGAGGGAATAAAAAAATGTGTTAAGCAAAAAAAAGTGTTCAGTATAGAGCTCCATTTAGAGCAGTAAAGAATTTATTCAATTTAATTCTGCCAATAGATTTAGTAAACAAATTGACAACATTTTCTTCCAATGGAATATAGTCCAATTTTAATGTGCCATTTTAAATCTCAGTCCTTATGAAGTGGTACTTTGAGTCTACATGTTTTGAATTTTGACGATAGACCAGGTTCTTAGCAAGAGCTATAATACCTTGATTATCACAATAGATAGTAGCATGCTCATTTTCAGTTGCATTAATCATGGTGTTTAATAATTGAATAAGGAATTTTGCTTCTTGTTTTGCAGCCACCAATGCCATGTATTCAGCTTCACATGTTGACAATGCTACTATAGGTTGCTTTCTTGCTTTCCATGAAATCATTGGTGATGTTTGGTGATAATTGGAAAACTGTAACCTGTAGTTCTGCAACAGTCTTTTGAATTTCTCCAATCTGCATCACAAAAGCCTCTTAAAGTTATGGGCTTACTAGATTTATTAAACACTAAACAATGTATTTTTTGTGCCTTTCAAATAGCATAAGACTTATTTGGCTCTTATCAAGTGGTCCATGATTGGATTCACGGAATATTGCAACAATTTTGTTACCATGTAACTTATATTGGGACAAGTGGCAGTCATAACATATATCAGGCTGCCAACTATCTCTTGGTAATATTTTCCATCTACTGGTTCAGCATTGCTTCTTTCCAGTAGATTGATATCCATTTCACAAGGCATTGATGGAGGCTTACAACATTCCTAACTTGATTAGAATCTTTTCAATATATTTCATTTGATTCATTTCTATAGTTATTTTTAAATGAAAACTGTATACCTGGAAAGAAAGAAAGCTGTCCAAGATCAGTCATTTTGAATTGTTGGTTAAAACATATTTTTATATTAATTAATGCTGAATTGCAACTTGCAGCAATGAGTATATCATCAACCCAAACAATCATAATCAATATTGGATTTGAAGTATTCTTTGTGTAAATACAAGAGTCTGCCAGGAATTGAGAGAAACCTTGACCAATTAAATATATGTGAAGGATTTAATTCCAATTTCATCTGCTTTGTTTAAGTCCATACGAGGACTTTTTTAGCCGTCATACAAGTTTGTCATTGTTTTTACTGGTAATGGAATAAACCTTGTGTACATGTACTTCACAGTTGATTGGTGCATTTATGTATGCTCTTTTTACACATGTGGTTTTTACATCCATTTGGTGGACAAATAAATTATGTTGAATAGATAAGTCTTTATAGTTGATAAATGTGCTGGGGAGGAGAAAGTTTCATGATAATCTATTGCAGGTTTTAGCAAGTAACCTTTTGCAACAAACTTAGCTTTGAACTGTTCATTACTAGTGTCATTAGTTTTAATGGTGTAGACCCACCGACTGCATCTGACAGTTTTACCAGGTGGAAATTTAGTCAATTCATTTGTATTGTTTTTAAAGCATTTATTTCTTTTTCCATGGCATAGTACCATTTTATAGTAATTTGAAGTGATAGCTTCAATATAAGCAGTGGGTATATATTTTACCAAACAACAATAGCTTATAGTCAGATTTACTATGTTGTCCAAATTATTAACAACGTAATCTTTTAAATATTCAGGAATTTTTCATAACCTGCTTGGATATCATCTGTCAGGTATTTCTGAAATAGGATTATCTCCCTTATTATTGCTTGAATGTGTTGATTGTGTAGTTTGATTTTATTGTTTTACTTTCCTATGAGAATTTTTCTGAAAATAGTTGGGAAGTATTGTATCATTTTCTTCAACTGGAAGTAAAGAATAGTCAGATGTAGTAGGATTTTCAAAGTTTTCAGTAAATTTTACACACCTGACTCTCTTGATGTTCTTAGTTTCAGGTATGTATATTAAATAGGCAAGACTTGATTTATCATAGCCTATGAAAAGTGTTTTTCACCTTTAGTGTCCAATTTCTTTCTATCTTGTATGTAAGCATAAAAAATTGTGTCAAATATATGCATGTTGGCAAGGTTAGGTTTGTAACCTGTGAACATTTGTAACAACTACTGTAAATTCTAAAAATATTAGATTTTAGTCTTATTTTAAGACTTCTAATAAGAAGTTAATTTATTGATGCATTGCAAATCATTATTGATAACGTATTTTAGGTTTGATTATTTGACACATTTGGAAGCATATATAACATGTTGCAATGAAATCACCCACATCAGAAACAAGCTTTGAAAGAATAAAGCCCTATTGAAAGGAAGAAAATGGTTTATCACATACCTGGCTAGAAATTGGTTTTAAGTTGGGTCCATAAACAATATATGAATCAGAATAAACAGGCAGACGAATATAGTCAGCCACGTCCTGTGCTAGAGGATTATACATGGTTAAAGTGAACTAAAAGAAAAGATAATTTGAATACTTATTACTACACTTAATAGGTTTGTTGTATGCATGCAAAATCATAAAACATGTCATGATATAAAAACTGTAAATCCTTCAATATATAATATATACACTCACATTTACATACAGGGCATTCAAGCTAAATTTAACACTGTTTAAAGTTTCTATTTTTTTAAAATTGGTTTGAAATATCTGTAAACATTGAATTACACAGTGAAATCTAATCTCTACTGTTTTAGTGGTGTCAAGGTGAACTGACATGGATGAGTGGAAGCCATCTGAATATTGGAAAAAATGATGTTTTGTGCTGGGGCTTCAAAATGCCGCAATCATGACAGCTGCTCAGTGCTCTTGGAGCACCATGAAAACAATAAGACAAATGGAGAGCTGCAACAGAGACTATGAAGAAAGAACACAGCAGACATTCTGATTGTGTCCATACACCAGAATTCATCCAACTTTAGGAGAAAGTGGGCTTTGAAATGGGTGTTGAAATTTCTACCATGAAGCTGGCCTTGAATGAGGACCTCCACTACCAGTCAAACAAGAGTTGTAATGGTCAGCTTCTTACAGAAAAGACTTGAGAAAACCATCTGACAAAGGCAAAGAAACTCCTAAACAAGGTGAAATATCCTGTTGAACCAGGGATAATCTGGTTCTTCTTTGATGAAAAGAATTTCTTTTAGGTCCAGCTGCACAACACCCAGAACAACATATGATCAGCCTATAATCCATATAATCATGAAGACCAAATTTCCCAAAACTGTAATGTTTTTTTGGTGTGTCTCTAGTGAGGGTGATGTCATGCCACCTCACATTTTTGAACAGGGTCTCAGGCTATGTGGAGTTGCTGAACACCGTGGTCTAGCCTTGGTTGAAGAGGGTGGCTGCTGGAAGACCACATGTGTGACAGTAAGATGCAGCTCCCTGCCACACCTCCAAAATGAACCAGAAGTGGTTGTCAGATAATTTTTGCAATTTCATCAACCACAATAACTTCATATTTCTCCATCTACTCACAATATTTTCTTTCAAAAATATAAATAAGGCTGCCAAACATTTTTAAAATGCCATTTTTGGTAAAATAAAATTCAACATTGAATTACATTTTAATTAATTTAATTTCAGTCAAGATAAGGTGTGAATTTTCAGATTTATGTTTAATTTCTACTAAAAAATTCCTTGTTTTAAAATGAAAAATATACACATAGATTGATAGTAAGAAAAGTTACCTCTTTCATATTTTCAGTGGCATAGCAAGAACTGATATTGAGAAGAGGACAAAAATGTTGGTCAGGAAACACAGTTTGAGTTTTGGGCATCATTTTTTTATAAGCAGCATTCAAAAGTGACTGAAAAAAAAAATAAAAAATAAAAAAAATACATATCTAAATTTTGAAATGGTGAGAAATTTATCAGTCATAGAAAGAAATGTCAGATGCAAATTTTATAGGTTTAAAATTTATCAGAATTCTAATATTGACACTATTCTTAGGAAACAGGTCAATGGATATTGTAGCAAGATTCATCTTTCAGAACTGGAAATAACATTGTAAATAAAATATTGGATTGTCTTTTTGGTTTCCAATTCTCAAAAAATAAAAAGAAATAATACACAACAATGAAAAATTGGTAAGATAGACAATATAAATTTTTATAAAAAACTTGTCATGAATATAACCTATTTGCTGTAAGTACTAAGAAAATGGTCACATAAAAATGACTATATATATATATATATATATATATATATATATATATATACACACACACACACACATTCAAATAAATAATGTTATAAATGATGATTGTAGTTAAATTTTGTTATCATCAACTGTCATTTAAGTTGTCAAAATTGGCAAATTGTAATGAATAATTATGGTGTGACACTATTTAGCTATGGTAATTAGTTACCAAATTAACCATAAAAATTACACAAGAAAATACTGAGAACAGAAAAGATACCCAGAGATTTTTTATTTTTTATGTTAAAGGATTGAGTTACTTTTCTCAAAAGTTGAGAATTGGCATAAACAGTGGGCTCACAAAAAGGTCATATACGAGTTTTTGACAATTGATTAATGATATTTGTAAAAGTAATGATTAACGAAAAACCCGAGAACAAGATATCATCTGGCAAGTGCTGGCAAGGCAAGGCCATATGGTAATTGTGGAAATTTTGGCATGAGAAAATATTCCGAAATTATTTGCCGATATGGGGTAGAGAGAATTAATATTATTTACTTTTCAAAGATGTCATCTTCAGTACCAACATGTTGCCATGAGTCAATTATAAAATTTTGGCATGAGAAAAATATCTCGGAAGAATTGGTGATTTGGAGATAAAGAAATTTATTATCAATTTATTTTTTTCTCAAGAAGCCAGTAAACGCTAACTTCATGAAGGGACCAGATGGCAGACTTTGACAATTGATTGATGGAGTTTGTAAAAAGTGCTGGTTAAGAAGATGCAGAGTGACCAAAAGATCTGAGAGATTTTAAGTGGCCATGTGAGATTCGTAAAAATATTGGCTGATGGGAAAAAGAATTTTGTAAACAAAAAATTCTGGGTTATAATTTAAATGAGGCCAGCTTAGCCACGCCCGCACGGCCGGGACACCATTGCTTGAGTGGTAGCAATGATGATAGGCAGAGATATTTTGATGAGAAGGACGGGAAAGTTATTAACGCCCACTGAAAGGATTGGTACGAGGTATCAATGTGAGAAGTGGGGAGTTTAGGAGGATAGCTCTCCTCCAACCTCTTCTCACGGATGAAGGGATCCCCCCTACATGGAAAGTGATTAATTTTCCAAAATGGGAAATAATCAATTTTCCTGGCCTGACAACAAAGAGGTTTCTTGTCAGAAATCGGGATTCACCAGACTGCATCTAACCCGACACCGGTTTTTGGTCAGTATCCATATAAATGAACGTCCTCGGGCCATTTGACAGCGAGGTTTTTATTTGCTTCTTTTCTTTACGCTTGTGCGATATCACCTCCAGTCTAGACGCCCGATTGATCTCATCTACCGAAGATCAAAATCACAATGTGGGTAGGTTAGACTTGAGATCGAAGCAGTTACTTTGGTAACCAGATGTTGAAAGTGAGCTGGGAACAGCGGAACTGGGTCGAACCGGTTGCAGCTGGTCTGAAGCCGTTAACATCAACCAACCATCCCACTTGGTAGCGACGATCACCGATCAACTGGGACACAGGCTGCTGGCAGCGACTAAGAGTCAACCCCAAAACATCGGTAGGAGAAATATTACAGTTTCGCGCTGTGACTGAGAGTTGACCACAGGCCAACAGGCTCTGTGTCACAATGGGGTAATTGCACTTGGGAAGAATTCCTCTAGCATTCTTAGACACTGTATGCATGATACCTGCAAATGGGTGGCTTTTAGCAACAGTATTCACAAAAACTGTATACTCATTATTTTAATTACTGGTGAAGTACAAAATATTTAAAGAGGGTGGTCGTATCTTTGATTAAATATTTAAAAATAAATAAAATCATTTATATTGAAACAGAAAAGATATTAAACAAAATATACATTAATAATATAACTATCAAATCCTGCAGCTGAATAGCCACAATAAAAAAAAATAAAATATAGATAAACTTCTATTTATTGAAATTTATCAGCTTAAATCCAAAGAAAATAAAAATTTTTATTAACAAATAATATTATAAAAATTTTTCAGGTTCAAAAAAAGAAAAGCATCAAAATGCCTTAATGCAAAATTAAATCATGAAAATAAATTGTTTTACAATATCAATAGATAGGTTTTACTTCTTTACATTAAAAGAGAAATCTCTTCCATAAAATGTACTTTGAATAAAAAATTAGAACAAGTGTACTCTTTTTCAAAATGAGTATATTTTTTATTATGCATACTTGTTTCTTTCTTACATTTAATTCAAAATGCATAATAGCAGACAACCAGTGTGCATCTATTTATTTATTTACCATCAAGTCATGTGACATATATAGCTTCTTCTCCATTCAAGTAGTTGTTTATAAAAAGAAATTCTAATCTATGGTGAATTTTATAAATATATGTTGTGTTATACATATTTAAATTTATTTAATCATGTTATAATGTATCATGACTGTTTATTATTTTTCACATTATAGTTGGAATCAAAAACAAATACTGAAAATGTGAAGAGAAAAAAATGGCTCTAGGAAATTTGGCACTGCACTCAGTAGGTGTTCAAGGTACAATATGCTCTTAAATTAGTTGAGATATTATGTATCATTTATTTTTATCATCAGATTGGAATTTTAGTATTTAGTTTATACATATATATGTATGAACTGGCATTTCTGCCTGAAAACAGTGTTTTACCCAAAATCAAAGTGCAAATCCCTGGCTCTTAGTTCTACATCAGATCAAAGTGTTGTTTCCTGGACCTAGAAGAAGTCTAGTATCTCCATCTTTTGTATAACTTAATATTTGAACACTGGCTTAATGAATATGTCACATGCTTGCTACCTCTGTGTCAGTTGTTAAAATCAGTGCATGATTTATTTGTTAATCTGTTTGCTTTAATGAGACAGAATTTGCAGAGAGAAACAGAAAAACAAACAAAAACACTCTTCCTTATTATTAAAAAAATAATCATTTTACCAAAAAGGCTGTGATACAAAGTATACAAATGTCAAAATTGTTTTTATTATGTCTTATAAGAAAAATTTGATCTTAAAGGTAACAAGCAACAAGCTAAAATTTGCTTACCTGACAACCATGTGTTCCAACACTTAATTGTAGTGCATAGTCATTGGCCACTGCTTGTTTCTCAGTACCACTAAAAAAAAAAAAAAAAAGTAAAAACACATTTCATATGATTTACTTGATTTTAATCATTTTCACCCTAAGCTAGTACACAGGGGGTTACAGGGAATGAAAGTGAAAACAGAATAGGGAGAATTGAGGAAAGGACAAAAGATGAACAGGGCTCAAGGCAGAAGATGCTGAGTGAAGTTGCATTTAAATTTTTGAAGATTATAGCTATGGAGAGTGCGAGAAAAACTGTTGGAGTAGAATTTGTTTGTTTAATGGCATATCAACTCCTTATGGGTCATTTAATGCCAAAATTAATTTTGGGAGAGCTTTGAAGTAATAAAATATGTTATTCCATTTTCACAATTGAATACATGGTAGATGATACTCAGCTTTTGTATATATATATATATATATAAAATCGACTCTCCCGTCGAGACTTGACATATGAGGGTCAAGCAGGTCAGCTTCAGAAAACCGATGGCCCAACATCGGCACATGAGATTTGATTATAGTGGTGAAGGCTTTGTGCAGGACCATCCACACTTTTTGAAGGGACGAATACAGAAACCTGGTGCAATCAATGCCAAGGTTCCCAAATGTTGAAGGTTTTGAATTCAGAGTTGTCCTTTCCTAGACCAGTTGCCATCCAAGGCTATAGAACCCAGTCTGTCCTGCTATTTTACCCATAGCTGGAGGGAGAGGAAGAGGATTATATACCTTTCCCAAGGGTATTAGCACGTAAATGAATGTAACTGGAATTCATAGGGTTTTGAAAATGAATTCCTCATAAGTTTAATTAAAATTTATCCATTACTCTACCGTGCCTCCTATATATATGTTTGTGGGAGACATGATTACTAGATAGGTGTGTTTTGTTGAAGTTATATTTTTTAATTCAATTTTGATTGAAGAAATTGTAGGATATTATATGGATTGATGTCATAAAAAAGCTCTTTCATGTTGGTTGGTTGATTTTGTTTAGTGACATATCAACCTCTATGGTTATTTAATGCTGAAATCTAATTATTTTGAACACAATTTTATAACTTCACCTAAATATATTTAAAACATAATTGCATGCCTTCAAATACAGATGCATTGTTGGTCATTTTACAATATAAAAATGTATTATGCTTTTATAGTGTTTTGTTTTGTTTTACTATTTGCCCATAGCTGGGACCCTAACAGATGTTACCTCCCCAGGTCACAGTGGAGCTAGGAACAGCAGCAATTAAGAGGTGGTTCCATACTCCTCAAAACCTCCAATCTCCTGATCAGAGGCCTTGCTGCCAGATGTAGTTTATCATCATAACCAGGAGTGGTTGGTTTTTTTTTGACAGTTGCATTTCACTATTTCAACAGTAAAGGGGTTGGACCTTGATGTCAATCTAGGAGCATGATTAAATTCATGTATATGGGGCACCAGGGAAAAAAGCTTGTCAGAGCAGTAGGCATGAAAATATTTGTAGAAAAGACAGAGGGAAGCCATATCACATGTCATGAGGAATTATCAAGAATCTAGAAGTTTCTTTTGATTTATTTACTTGTATACTAAAACTTGGATTACAAACTAATAAACTTCTTTATCAGAGGAAAATTAAAGATCACCAACCAGAATAACTTATTAACAGAGACATTGCCTTGATTTTATGAAAAAATTTATTTTAATTAGTCATTTTTATATTAAAAATAGAAATTACTTCATAGTTGACCCTACTGTAGGATGAAATTAAAATTTATGTAGATAGATACTCAAGCACGATCAAACACATTGTTTTTTTACTTACGAAACAGCATCATGGTGTTGAGCAATACTAAGTGCATCCCCTTAAAAAAAATAAAAATAAAAATAAAAATCTACCTATAAAACACCTTCATTATTTGCAGTTCTCATACTAACACAAAAAATATGGCACAAAAGTGGCTTTCAGGGTCTAAATTTTATATGGAATTCACAAATTTAACTCCTTTATTTGTAAGCACTAAGATTGTAATTACTTGCAGTATTTAAGTAATAAATATAAAATTGAACCTTTTATTTAAAATGCTAAATTGTTTATACCACATAAAATTAATACAATGTTTTTCCATAAAAAAGCTATTCTTACTAAAATATCTTGATAAACTGAACAGGGAAGCAATCATGTTTATTTAGATGCTGCATATAAGAAAATGCATTTATTTATTTTCAAAATCCTATCATTTTATGCTTCAAAAGCAAATTTCAAATATCTTGATTTTAAAACACTGTTCTTAGGAAAATAACAATAGCAATAAAAGATGATATTTTATCCATGAAGACAAATCAACAACAGACAAAACTTTAAACCTGTTTGTTTTGTGATTATTAAGTTACTTATTTGAGCTGAAAAAAATGGTCAAATATTCTACAGTAACCACCAATACATTATGAATGAATAAAAAGATTCCAAAAATGATAAAATCCATATAATATTACATTATTATGAAATTAACCTAAGTACAAATATTTGTAGTATATGGTGATTGGGTAAACACTAGCCTACCAGATATTTCAACTTTATATATAAGACTTGAATATTTTAGTGAATCATTGTTTTGGGAAAAAATGGGGTCACATATGCCAATAAAATACAACATCCAGAGAGAAAGCATGCAAATGGCAAAGTAAACTAAGTTACTGTTTTTTTTTTTATATAATGAAGAAGCAACAAAATATTTTATTTGCTTACCCTTTAAATATAATAACATCTTGTCACTGAGACCTCAGGGAGATAATCAAACAGAAAAAAAAGGAAAGAATGAAAAAGGAAGAAGAAAGAGACTAACTGGATGATAATTGTTTAAATTCTTGGGAAAGTGGATTGAAAAGAAAATTAAAAATGAAATACACTGAAAAAAATGTTTTAAAATAATAAAATGAAATCACAAACAATTCCAAGAAGAATCAAACCCAAATTTGACTAGACAGAATTCAGTAAGATTGAGCAAAACTAAGACTACCACTCCTTCCCCACTTCCTGACAGTATGAAAGAGACAATGTATCATCAAAGATGTCAGTCATGGAAAATAGAAAAAAATGTTGTTGATAAAGAAAACGTGTGGTCACCGAAATAACATCTAAATTGTTTTGGACAAAAAGCCAGGAAAACATCTAGTTTGAATCTGCCACCAAGAAGAAAAATATCCCTAGAAAAATAAAGATTAGTGCCTAAGATTGTGGATGGGCTTGTTTATTTTAATTTTTGTGATATATATCAAAATTTTTATGGCCGACATTATTTGGGATTCTTTTGGAGACAAGCTGATAAAGATAGATAATATTTTTAATTACCAAAGATATTGAGAATGTTTTCTTTCCTTTTCTTTCCCACCCATGAAAATTAACAAAACAATTCAGGAGATTGACTCCGATTAATTAGATATGGGGCTTTGGGAAATCACCTAAAACAACCAGCATGAGACAAGCTAATAAAGAAAGATTAATTACTGGAAATCTCCTTTTTGCCTATGCATTTTAAAAGTTAGATTCATCACAAAGACAGTTGTACCGGCCCTTAGAAGTGGGATGAGGTTGGATGCTGAAAAGGTGGGAAAAGAGACAGAGAGATTAGCACTGCCTATATGGAGTGATGGTGCAAAATGAAAAGTGAAGGGAGTTGGAGTTAAGGGGTGGCTTGATTCCTTTGACCACTCTCAAAAGGGGGCTGGACAACCCTTAAATCTGGAAAATTAGTTGAGTAAACATATTTTGAAAATATGGGATTTAGAAATTATTTAGATTTAGATGCTAAGGGTGGGAGATAACCAAATCCCACACCTTGGTCAACTCCAAATATTACTGCTACTTGAATCCACATCATTTGCCAAGACCTCCTGATCAAGACCTTGTGCTAGCCCTGAAGACCAGAACTTAAAAATTAAAATTACTACTAATACAGATTGTAAACTACAAAAGGCGATCCCAGTGTCATATGAGTGATAAAGGTTAAAACCACAGTATATAATAAATCATATATAAACCAAATTGTTGTTACATTTTTAACCAGAGTTAATTCTTTATTACAAAGAATTCTTTTTGTGTAACTCATCGCCATTGACTTCAGTTTACTTCATCAGCGATCTTCTCACTCTCTAAGATCAAAAACACAACATGGCAGAGGAGACGAATGACTGTGAAGGAGACAAATGCCAGCTAGATCAAGTATAGAACTGTGCTCATCATCACAATACCAGCAACAAACTTGCAATGATGAGTGAGGAGTCAGCTAGATGATAACCATGGTGGTCTGAAGGAACCTGGAAACTGGTGTTGCAAAGATGGGGTTACATTACAAGTAGAGAAAATAAAAAATATCTTCATTAGGAAGTTAAGATTAAAATATTCTTTAATGTCTGACAATGACTAAGAAAAGTTTGTAAATCAGCAAATGCTATAAAACATCTGACTTCTTAGCCAGTGTAGAAATTTGTTCATTTGTTTGTTTTTTTAAATCTATTTGTGAAGATATTATATGACCCTGTAATGTCAAGTACATATTACATAAATAAAATGAAGAATTTTAATTATTTCAAAATTAAGCTATGATATGTACCCAAAAATATTTTATAGAGATGATGCATGGAGGCAGGTTGAAATGATCTCCATCAGTCACACTTCTGTTTCAAAGTTATTTTTGGGAAGAGTTAAAGAAACTTGAGAAGTGATGTGTCAAGACTGCTAAACTATGAAGTGAATGTGGAATAGCATGTACATTTTACAGCTCCTCGACCAAGCTGACAAATTTTCAGCACCCTCTCTTATTGAGAAGCGATTTAAGTAATTAAAACTTTAACCGTCACTTGAGAGAAAAAGTGAAAGTATATGTAAAAAATAATAAGAATGACTTATTTTTCCAAAAAATAAGTTTGACTGGAGTCATTTTCAGAAGACAACACGTCCATGTCAAGCAGTATTAAAATAACCCACTTAATTTATCTAGATAAGTGTGTGTGTGAGTATATGTATGTGAATTTCAAGTAAGTAGACAAGTATGTTTTTCTTGCCTTGTAATTAAATATTGATATATACCATAGAAATAAAATTAAGGAGTGCCAATCAAATTTAGTATTTTTTTAATTCAATGTCATATATTTTTTATATGTATGTTTTAATGTCAACATAATCTCAACATATCACACTAAATACAGATTGTCAACCACAAAAAAGGGGGAAGTACATTAAGAGGTTCCGAGCCACATGTAAAACTAAAAAAATATATATATTTGAAGAAAATTTTAATTCTCTTTAAGAATTGTTTCTTGATTGTGAGACAAGAAACAGACTTGCTTGGATTTGTTCTTAATATATATTAGTATGAAATGAATCATGTATCATAACTGTTAGAGGTCTTTGTACTTTCAAGGACAGAATTCATTTTAGAAAAAAATACTTAATATATACTAGTAGATGTAAAGCATCCAAGCATCAGGATCATCGTTTTCTCACCCTATTCTCTTTTTTTCCAAATAGCAGTGGCAGAGATGGCTGTGAATCAAAGAGAGTTTAACAAGGCCATTCACATGAATTTGATTTTGGTGGACAACTCTGCATGACAGAGAAGCCCACATACTTGGCCAGAAGCACCTTCCTCATGGCTCAAAGGAGATTGAGATAGGCAAGACCTGGCCAACATGGTTGCATTGAGCTGTCAGATGCTTGGTCTGTCATGGTCCACCTTGGTTATGCCAGCCTGACTGGAACTGCCCTATTCTGCCAGAGTCTTCAGCGTTTGATCACGTTCAGTCTGTTGCTTCTTCTTCAATCTTACTGCCATGGGTGGCCCTACCAGAGCTGGAATACCAGATGGCTTCGCTCTTGAAATCACTGGGACAAGTAAGCCCTCTACATGGCAAAGAATGATCACATATATTTTAAACTGGATGTTAGAGTGAACAGTTCGTTAACAAATGTACCAAATTGACCTATTATTACTTTAATGACAACAATAGAAACAAATCAATAAGAATAAAATTAATTAAAGTATAAAATTATCATAAAATATATGAGAACATTTTTTATTATTGTTGTGGCTAAAAATAAATATTTGACAGATAAATAATAAAGCAAATCTTTCTACAGAGGTGTCAGGATTGAAAACAATAACTACCTGACTTAATTTTTTTTTTTTAATAAAAACACACAGCAATATCTTGACATTCAGCCAAATGATTGTCACCATAATGTAACTTGTAAGATTTTCCCTGAGAAAGCGTCTCTGGGTCAAGCAGGGAGAAGGCCAATTGTTTATTCAACTTTCAGACCAGAAAAAATTCACTTATGAGGTGACAGCATTTGGAACAATAATTATTTTTTTTAAATTAGTCTTCATTGAATGGTTGAGGTGACAGGTGCAGAAGAGAGACCAGGGAAGGAGAAGGAGCTGCCCACACACACTGAAGGGTAGCAGGCACAGATGAGACACCAAAGTGGGTGAATGCACAAAGCAAAAAAGACAGATGGGAGAGAGATTGTCCCGAGACTCTGTTCCAGCCGCCCAGCACAAGACAACACATGGCTATCTGTCGACGTGACCCCGCTTTGATAAGTCCGTAAGCCAAACCTTACCAGCTTAGCCAAGTGTCACGTCCAATTTAGAAACATCTCCAAAAACAAATTTCTGCATGGTAAGACCTAGACTCTAACAACTATTAACAAACCATATTACACATTGTCATTATATAAAAATAGTAAATTTTTTTTTATATTATTTGGAGTGTTTTTTTGGTTTTTTTCTATGTAAAGTTTATGCTTGGACCAGCCCAATAAGAAGATACCTATAACAAGTCGATCTTAGCCTCCTTTATGACCAACCAATCACAATGTGGGGTAAGGCAGGTCAGGATAGATGAGATCACTCCATCAATCAGCCATGGTATTAGACATCTTGGACGACCAGGGAGGGTATAGAGTTACAATTGGTTCCCGTGAACCATAAGCCTGACACTGAAGGTGTTACAACAAAAAAGCAAACAAAACACAATAATATTACAGCATGAAATGCTTTTCTTACAAATTTGAAAACATGATCTCATCCAGAAAAAAATGTCACCTTACTACAATCAATAAATAAGAAAAGAATAATGTAATAAAATTATTGGCAAATGTTGTTAAAAATGTTTGAATGATAAATTAGGTAAAGAAATTGATGATACTGAATATCAACAATAAACAAAACAAACATTACATCTCGAAATGCATTTTCTACAATTTTGAAAATTTTGAAATGAGAAATATTATGCTTAAATACAAATATAGAATTATTCATGCCAGTTTATAAGTAATTTAAGAAATACAATGCTGGGGCGTATCCAATATAACAATAATAAGTGATAATACACATTCTTAATAATGTAAGTAAACTTGCTAAAACACTTATTTTAAAAATAAAACAAAAAAAAATTGTATACATCGATTGTAGATGTACTTATAGTAAAACAATACATGGCATGCCAGTTTTCATTTTATAAAAATACATTCCTTCAGCAAAAGTTAATGAAACAAAGATCAATGCTAGTAGATACACTAATGAAAGTACGATACTGATAGTCATAACAAATAAACTGAAAGAATAGATACAAGTAGTTAAGTTTTACTTACATAAACGAAAAATTTGAATATGGTTGTAAAGTTCCCCAAAAACATCTAAGTGTCGACAGGTCTAATGAAAGAAAAAGATTCACTATCTGAGCAATGTATTAATTGTTATTTAATATGTTCAGTCTGGTACAAGACAACAAGATACTTACAGTCACCTATCTAAGGTTCAACACAAAAATGGGGTTGTGGTACATTAATAAGTTCACAAAAATTGAGAAAATAAAAATCATTGATCTTACACAATATATATTTACTTTTCAACAAAAACTTCCTTGTTATTGCCCTTAATTCACTGGTGAATATTAATCACATCAATTGAACATTATATGGCATTGATGTACTTTTGTATATATTGAAACAAGATTTATTAAATTCAACCAACATGGTCTGTATGTTTAATTTCTTATTGCATGTTTCCAATTAAGATATTGTACATCGAAATAAAAATTATGAATAAACTGTTCAAATTTCACGTTTTCTTTCATTTTAAATAAACCAACTTCGGAGGAACATTTTAAAGACATTAGATGTTGTCAGTATGTAAAACTTCTTTGAAATATCAGAATTCAGATTAATTCAAATATAGAAAGAGGAAATTTATATGTGTAAAAAGTTTTAGAGATGAAACATAACATCTCTTTTTGTGTGTATATATATATATATATACTTTTCAGTGTGTAAAAATCACAACCCTGGTTATGGCTACAATATGAACTTTAATTTGTCAGTTCCATATTTTTCTATTCATTAGAAATTAGTTGAAAATTGTAAAGATTGGGTAGGGTAAAAATTGAGCAACAATTTGAACACTTCCATGAAACTCATTTATCAATTTCATGGTCACATTTTTATAACTTCTATACAAAATTGAATTGTTGTATTCTATAATACGGAAATTTTATAAATTCAAATCAATGATAAAATAATTAAACTCATTAATGCCATGCTATAGCAGCCCTAACATAAAAAATATCAGTATCTTTGTACACCAATTTTTATAGATTATGAAAAGGAAAAGATAAAAAATATACTTACATCAATTAACACTAACTTTATCAAGATACTAGCAGCATGGCCCGGCGTTGCCCGTGCTTGATTCAAAAAATCACTCATACAGCAATCACTATCTATCTTTGACTTAAAATTTTTTGCCCTTCCTTTTTTAAAGGAGTGCCCTTTGCCGTGTTGATGTTTTAATGCCTTACTTCTTGCCTATCTCACACTGCAATTTTTTTCTAAGCTCTATACTAAACATTAAATCTGTTGCGAAAAAAGAACTAAACAAAATGACACAAAATGATCAGCTTTAAAAAGGACTTGTAACAGGAAAACCGAATGAAAAAAGAATGTTAACAACAAATACTTTTTCACACCCAACCCAGTTCTGCGGAATCAAAATCAACATAGAGTTTAAGCAAGCAAATGTGCTAATTGGAGAAAAAGTGCCATGCAGATTTAAATTTTTCCCACTTGTGATGAATAAAGCTATCGATTTTTTTTTGCATGCTGGCGAAAAAGTTAACATGGTGTCAGTCAGCTGTTGGCTCTCTCTTGGCCAATAGAATCTTCCTGCCTAATTCATTGGCAGCCATTTATTTTAAAACTCTTGGCCAGTAGAAAATGGCCACAGAGATTGAAAACAAAACCGTTGGAAGCATAAAAAAATAAAATTATTTCCACTATCAGTGGGAGTTGGGAAATGCAAAGTTGATCTTGGCCTTCTGCTAGGGGAGCATGTGCATGTAAATATCCTTGCAAATACGTGAAAAATTGCAACAAAAATTCATATAACATACATCCTGCCATTTATAGATAGAGATTCTATGGTTCGCCTAGAAATGTATATAAATCTTCTTACTGTTTCTTATTTAGGAAAGAAAAAAACAAGCAATAAAAAAATATTTCAATCATCTCTTAACAACATAAATAAGTCTGCAATAGGTAGATACAATTTTCAAAACTTATTTTGAGAAAGATCTGTACCTTCTATTTCAATAAGTATGATACTTCATTTTTCATGTGCTATCAGACAAATTTAACTAGTTATTTATTTAAAGATATGTAATGTCCTCTGAAGAGGAAAAAAGACAAAGAACATACAAAGTAAGACCCAGGATAAAGAAAATCCAAAAAACACACACACACAACAATAACAAGGAAATAAATATTTAAAAGAAAAAAATAAATTTTATTTACAAACCTGGAAAAAGGAACTTGTATCTCGGACATATTTCTTGAGGCTTGGACGGCTAGTGAAGTATCCTGTCCAAAAGCTGTGTGGACGATCAGCATAGGGAAAGAAGTCATCTGTTTTCTGTGTCCAGGTGACATTAGCGTTGTTAACATGGTACAGATAACAGGAAGGTGTTGAGTACAAAAGATTCAGTTTGCTACCATTGGATTGCTAAAATAATAAATGATAGAGACATTTTTTTATTATACAACTCATCAATATGAGATGACAAGGAGAATAAAAGTTTATTAAAAAAAAATTTTGTTATAAAAAAACAAAACAAAAAAAAGCAACTGAATACCAAGTGAAATTAAATTAGCAGTTTTTTAAGACCACTTTTGAAAAGTTGTCTGTATAGCTGGTCATTTTAAATGCCACCTTTTTATCTTCAATTATTTTGGAAAAGAAAGGTTTATATTCTGTTCAACCATTTTGTTTAGTATTTAAGCTGATCAGTAGGCTTCAAAGACTTAAAAAAAAAAAGGTTGTCATTAATAGCATATATAACAAAAGTATTCTTTGCTTTTGGATATTTTTAAGTACTGAATTCCCAGCATTTTGATTATAAGAACTTACATTTTTAAAAAATGAAAATACAGATATAAAAAAATTACATAATTTTCATAAAATAATTCTATTTTCTTTGATTTAAACATTCAAGCAAGAATTTAAAATTCTGAAATATTTTTTCACTGAATAATTTCAGTTTAGATGAGGTGAATTAAGCTCAGTTTAACTCGTACAAATGTAAAAATTCAAGTATTTGAACTGAATTAAATGACATTTTATCAACACACTCAAATTAAAATAAGGCATTTGTTTTCCTTTAAAACCTATATCTCTTTCTCTACCATTCTCTCTATACTTCTCTCTCAACAAGAAGGCAACCCTCAAATAAAAAGAGAGGAAGAAGAAGAAAAGATTGAACTCAGCCCAAAAGCAATGGAAGTTTGTGAGACCAGAAAACTACCAAAACAAAAGAAGTTCTACACATAACTTCCACTATATAAAAAATTAAGATGAAAATTGTGAAAATGGCTTACCTCGGAAATGCGTTCGAATCTGTGCAGTATGCAAACTCTGGTCCTCCCAATGGTAAAAAAAAACCAAAATGGTGGCGCCCATATTTTATGCTGGGCGGTCTCAGTTAACTAAAATCTAAATCTCATCATTCGCATGCAAATCGTGGTCGGTCCACGGCTGTATAAAGCAGGCTCGTTTTGCTGTTTCAGATGAGAGGGCTTTCAGCTTGTGAGAAGGTTGGACATGCGACACCGGGGTTTTTTCTTTGTGCCTACCTGTTATCATCAGTTGAATTGTTGCGTTACACACCACAAGCTATTTCGGCAATGGACAAGTTCGATCTAAAATTGATCCCAGAATTCGACGGCTCCCCACGGGCCCGACTATTCGTGAATGGTTTCAAAAAAAGCGAACGTGTTTGCAGGGTGTCCAAAATAAAGGAACCTGCACTAGTCATCCCACTGAGACTCACGGGAGGAGCCTCGCAGTATATCAACAACTTCGGGGACGATGCTGACCTAGAAGAGATCAAGGACGCCCTGTATACGGCCTTTGGAATAGACCCATTCATCGCTTGGAAACAGTTCGTCGGACGACGGCTCGAGCCGGGTGAGACCGTGGATGTTTACCTGGCTGATTTGCGAAGGCTGGCAGTACCGTTTGGCGGAGCAACGGACCGCATACTGGGGTCCGCCTTCCTGGCAGGGCTTCCAGACGACACCAGTCGGCTCCTGCGGCGTCTTCAAGATTGGAAAATTGGTAGCAGGGCCCAAAACATCTTGAAGGACACGGAACAGATCGCGGCAGCTGAGACACCGAGGAGGGCCAAAAGTGCTACAAGTGCGGTGGACCCAACCATTTCTCTAGGGACTGCGGAGCGAAGTGATGTAGGAGGGAGCAGCAGATGGAACCGAGCATGACTACGCTGCTATCGCTGCAAAGAGTTAGGCCATGTAGCACAGGATTGCTCGGGAAGCGAGTCCGGGGACAAAGGTGCTGTCGCAACCCTTGCCCCTCTCAGTCAGTAAATGCGGCATTGCCTGTTGTCAACGTGTACGTTGAGGGTAAACGATGTTCGGTGATCGTTGACACTGGATGTTCCCGATCGATCGTTAGTGCGGATCGATGTGACATGGAACAGTCAACAAATCGAGATTCGGACGATTGACGGGTGTCCCGGGCCTGTTGTGGTGTTGGGACTGTGTCAGTCCCTAACAGATGGAGGGAGTCATGCCAAAGTCGACGTCTTGGTGGCACGTCAAAGGCCCCTCGGTACGACCTGCTACTTGGGATTGATGCGATCTGGCGTTAGGAGGCATGATGATCACGCCAGCGGAAATGTGGAACTGGGTGAAAGAAGAAAGGTGTGTGCAGCCCTTTGCATTAGTGAGCGGTTTCGACGTCTCCTTCAATTCCGACGAGAGGTGTGGACCGCCAGGTGAAATGGGCCCAAAAAGACCCACCAGTTCAGCTTCGCAACAAGGTCGCAGAGTACAAGGTTCGACAGCATCAGAGGAAAATACGAAAGAGCTTCAGCAGTGGATTGCGAACGGCTGGCTGATTCCGTACCCCCAGGAAAGACTGGGACCCCCAAAGGGTCTGATTCCCTTGATGGCGGTCGTGCAGGAGCAGAAACAGAAGGTGCGTCCGGTACTCGATTACCGCGGAATTGAACGACTTTGTGGATGCTTTCACTGCCGATGCAGAAGTGTGCGCACATAAGTTGAGAACGTGGCGGCGGCAGGGAATCAATGTGTTGCTTCTGGATCTGCGGAACGCATATCTTCAGATTCACATCGACGAAGTGCTGTGGCCATTTCAAACGGTTATTTTCAAAGGCCAACGCTTCTGTCTTACGCGGCTAGGATTTGGGCTAAATGTAGCGCCACTCATCATGAAATCCGTTATAGACGCCATCACATCGCAAGACCACACAATTGAAAGTGCCACATCAGCATATGTTGATGATATCTTCATTAATGAGAGTTTGGCCTCTGCATCGCGTGTAAGACAACACTTTTTGGATTATGGTTTGGTGTGCAAGGATCCGGTGCGACTGAGAGATGGAGAAAGAGTTCTTGGCTTGCAAGTCTGGGAAGAAAATGGCACCCTCCGATGGAAACGAGGAAGTCAAATTCTGGAAGCCCCTGATGTGTTGACCCGGCGGCGCATATTTTCATTGTGTGGGAAACTTGTTGGACACTTACCAGCGTGTGGATGGCTCAGGGTGGCAGTTGCATTCGTCAAGCGCCTGGCAACCGCAGCAACCAATGGATGGGATGATAACATCAAAGATCCCTCTCTCTGTCGCATACTAGCAGAGATGTTAAGTAGAGTGCGGGAACTGGATCCCGTCGGAGGAGACTGGTGCATGAGTGGTGACGAGATCACAGTCTGGGTGGATGCGAGTTCCATGGCGACAGGAGTGGCATTGGAAGTAAACGGAAATGTCATCAAAGATGCGTGCTGGCTGCGTCCGACTAATGATGCCAGGCATATTAATTTGGCTGCACTCGATGCGGCATTTTAAAGGGTGAATCTAGCTCTCCAGTGGGAGGCGACAACGTTGCATCTGGTTACTGATTCGGCGTGTGTGCACCGGTGGATTTCAGACACCTTGACTGAGAAAACGCGGGTGAACACAAAAGGCGGCTGGTGAGATGCTGGTCAGGCGGCGGCTGGGCATTTCGCGATCGCTGGTGGAGGAATATGGATTGACCGTAGACGTGGCGCTCGTGCAGTCCTGTCAGAACCGTGCGGATCGCCTCACCAGAGTACCGCACAGGTGGCTAGAACTGCTCAAAGAGGAGAACCGGCACTCGAGAGCTGTGCAGTGGCAGGGAGACGACTGGATGAGGACCAGGTTGCCAATACGCATCGTCAATGCGGACATCCGGGCGTGAAACGAACTCTGTGCCGCCAGGTTAGTCGACCCGCAGGTGTCCAGAGAAAGCGTTAAATCTGTTGTAAAGGCCTGCACAACCTGTCAGTCGATCGATCCGGCACTCGTTTACTGGGAAAGAGGCGAACTGAGCGTGAAGAGCAACTGGAGCAGACTGGCAATGGACATAACTCACTACAATGGTGAGAATTTTTTAACACTCATTGATTGCGGTCCCTCCAGGTTTGCGGTATGGCGGCCGCTGCGCAGACAAGACGCGAGCACCGTCATTCGACTGTTGGAGAATGTTTTCCTGGAGCAAGGCCCACCCATGGAAATACTGACGGATAACGATACTGCGTTCACCAGTAAAGATTTTAAAGAATTTGCGGACACTTGGGACGTGCATCTGCGGTTTCGATGTGCCTACTCGCCAAGTGGAAATGGCATCGTGGGGCGGAACCACAGAACCATCAAGACCATCGCAGCCAGGAAGGGCTGTACAGTATCGAAGCGGTTTACTGGTATAATGTCGCCCGAAAGATAACATTTTACCATCCACGGCGCCGGCTGATGCACGGCACAAATACCATGTCGCGTGAAAGGCATCGAAGCCAACCTGCTGCCTGAACTAGAAGTGACTGGAGGAGATTGAAAAAGGAGATGTTGTTTGGGTCAAAAACCCATGCGGCAAGTGTACAACAAAATACGGCACTGGACGTGTTACAGAGGTGATCAGCCGCAATCTGTGAGAGTTGATGGGGTGCCTCATCACATTAAAGACTTGCGACCGGTGATGCAATCACTACCACTACCGGCGATGAAAGCGATTCGAGTCTGGGAGTAGTGAGCGTTCAATCTGCCTTGAGTTAGACCTGCAGGGCAGTGATTCTGATAACAGCAGCCTCCCCGGCGGACACAGTGTTTACCGACACTCAAACCACAGACGAGAACACGCACGAGGATGAAGCTTGTGTTATCCCCTTCGGAGGGGGACTCGGCGGCGACGATCGCCACCTCCCTGCCCTGTTTGTGATCATGAGATCAGGGGAGTGTGGGAAAATTGTGAAAAAAATGGCTTACCTCGGAAACGCGTTCGAATCTGCGCAGTATGCAAACTCTGGTCCTTCAACGGTAAAAAAGAAAAACCAAAATGGCGGGCGCCCACGTTTTTATGCCGGGCGGTCTCGATTAGTTAACGCGAAATCTCGTTGTCTCATCATTCGCATGCAAATCGTGGTCGGTCCCGGCTGTATAAAGCAGGCTCGTTTTTGCTGTTTCAGACGAGAGGGCTTTCAGCTCGTGAGAAGGTTGGACGTGCGACACCGTGTTTCTTTTGTGCCTACCTGTTATCATCAGTTGAATTGTTGCGTTACACACCACAATATATGAGAGAGAGAGAGAGAGAGAGAGCGCGCGCAATGTCTAGCAACTTATTTGACTAATCATTCACTTCAATAAATGATCCCATGTTCAGCAGGTGTCCCACTATTTTTACTTGTTACCAGATTAAGCTAAGTTTGTAAACATCTTTTTCTTTTTTGCATTAAATGTTCACCAAATACAAGACCCAAGAGCCACTCAAAAGTAGAGTGTTACTGTGGTTGTATAGTCATGGAAGTAGTAAGTGCAGATTATGAGGGTATGTAGGATAGTGAGGTGAATGAAGAAAACAGTAACAAGTGAGTAAATTCAAGCTCTCCCAGCTGGTATTTCAACCTTGAGTCGTTCCTTCTCGAGTTCTGTCTCCAAATCACACTAACTGCCCATTCTTGCCATCAACCGTGAACGTCCCTCGAAGAACTCCCGACACTCGGAAAAAAGTGGTTGTTTTATAGTTGTTCATATACCCATAATCCCTTGCGTCTTCACGTGATCCCATAATTCATTGCGTCCATGTCCCATAATGCATTGCATCGTTATTGTATAAAAATGCGATGCCAGTCCCCCCTCATTCTTTTACATTATCTGGCCAAGGATGGATTACGGCAGAGCGGTAAGTGCTTTTTTTTTCTCTCCCTCATTTCAACTGCAGTAGCTTTACATGCTAAGCAAATATGGGCTCTTTTTTGGCGGGGACAAGGCAAGTCGCGACCAGTTGTGCTCATCCCAGGTTCTGTCTCATGTCCGCCACAGATAGATAACGGCTGATGCTAGACTTGAAGAGGTTAAGATTGCAGTGACCTGGGAAGCATTCTCTCAGGGATCTGTTCCACAAAGTAGCAATTCTCATGAAGATACCATCTGAGTGGGACTTTTCTCCTTACCAATAGAATATAAAGGGAATGAGGATGATTCAACCCTGTGTATGTGACATGGCAGGTCCTAGTTGTGAAAGTCAGAACTGGTGGAATTAGGGAATGTAGCTTGTCTGAACATTTGCCATAGAAATAACAATAGGTTTGTGATGCTTTGTGAGAAAGAGGCAGTAAAGTTGAAAATATATTTGTCAGTCACGAGACCACATACACACTCTTACACTATCAAGACTGAAAAGTGAGGATTGAGCAACTCCAGGCCAGAAATGACAGCAATACTTCATTTTTAATTTGATTTAGCCTTTATATTTGCAGATGTACACAGAAAAAATATACATACACACACACATATATGTGCAGATATGATTGTATGATCTTTCTTCCTCTCTCATACAATAAAGTGTACATATTTATGATTATATATGGGGAAAATGATTTATAAATATATATATATATCAAGAAAGGAAAATTTGTCCATTAGGACTTCAGGCTGAAGTGATGTTTGCATTGAATGAAGGAGAGGGATGCTAAAAAAAAATTCAATTGTCAATGTGTCCTCTTTCATGTGCATGCATAGTCATATTCAACATAAACATTACTTTAGTCTGATGTCATCCAAAAGGATTAAACATGTCATATGGTAACTTTTTCCACTTTGTTATAGATTTCCCTATGTTTATATATGAAGGGGCACGAAGGGCACTCAAGAATAACCACAATTATTTTCTAAAATGTTTTATTAGGTTTTACAACCTGAGACACATGTCTCCTTCAAACTATGTGCCTCTTTAGCCAATACTCTTGTCCTAATGTATTTCACACTGCTGAAAATATTTATGGAACACTTCAATGTGGAGTTTGGTACTTAATGAGCAAACAAATATTAATAATAATAAAACTGATCTTGTCATTAAATAATCCAGCAAGAGCAGAGATGTAAAAATCAACTGAGCCAACCATTTGGAGCTATTTTCATTGCCCAGTTCATATGGCTTCCTATCTTTTAAACAGGAGTAGAGGCTTATGACTTTTTCAAGATCAGGAATTGTGTGTGTGTGTATCCCCAAACAAGTTTGATTAAAAAGAACCAACAAGGTCAGTCTGTTTAATTTTTTATTATATTTTTTCCAACTTTTTGATAAGTTATTGATTATGTTAAAGTTGTGGATAAACTGTCTGA